CGGGCGCATAACTCAGGAGACGCGCCCGTCCGCCTGGCACTGCGGTTTCGCACAGGTGCGCTATGGCACCGCCTCGGAGCGCATGCGCACGCCGCTGCGGCCAGGCAGGCGAAGGACTCAAACCGGGCGCTTGAGTATATGATTCCTGGTGCGACATTAGTCTCGTCTGTGTAGTGCAGGTTGTGCCCGGGTAGTGGCGGTGTTCCTCCGCTGCTGGACGTGAGATCCGGTGCTAATCTGGTCGTTGGCTAGTCGGTTTCTCACCTTCAGATATCTCCTCTAGTGGGCTCCACCCCAACCGGAACAAGCTGTACGTGTAGTGCAGGTTGTGTCCCGGGTAGTGGGGGTGTTCCTCCGCTGCTGGACGTGAGATCCTGTGCTAATCGTTCGTTGGATAGTCGGTTTCTCGCCTTCAGATGTCTCCTCTAGTGGGCTCCACCCCAACCGGAACAAGCTGTAAGGAACTGACGGATGTTGTGATGTAGTGCTCGCATGCGTGCGTAAGTTTGTTAGCGACTGCGCGTAAGAGGAGAGATTGGGAAAGGATAGGGGAAGATATGATCGTGCGTGGTTCGTGACCAGTTCGTTAGGGTATAACTTCGATAGTGGTCGCATTCGACCCAGCAACGCAGCCAATGGAAAATCTGCAACTACCGTCGGGATTCGAAGAACTTCCAGTTAACGATACTGCAGAGGTAACAATGCCTCTGAGCTGCCAAAACAAGTGAACAAGTATAATATTAATTATAATAATCATATTAATGATATGTAAGGTAAAAAAAGTAGATATTCGTCCCATGACAAACTCTACTACCGGAGAAGTAATAAAAATCCTCATCAAGGATCTACAAGAATGTCAATTTTCAAGATGCATGTAGTGGAAGCAATACTTAAAGCAGTCTTTCTGGATCACTGTTACACAGTAAGAGAAACTATTACTGATATGTCTGCCATTTAGTGTAGGAGATCCTGAAACTAAAAAAAAGATCTCGCTCGTTACTTGTTACTTGCGGAGCCGTATGAGCGAGACTGGTCAGAACAACACCTGTGACAGGTGAATGTCCCTTCCCGCATGGCAGAAGGGCATACGTAATAATAATAATAATAATAACAATAATAATAATAATAATAATAATAATATAAAAATTTCGTTTCCAACTTTCCTAAAATATTCAAAATATTCGTGATTAGTGCGGTTCCTAGAAAATATAGAGAAAATTTTGACGTCATAAAAACGTTTTAAAAACGAAAGTGCAAATCTACTAAAATGAATAAAATAAGGAACAAATATTTAATTAATTACACATCTTACAAAGTCATTTTTTCTCTTTATGTGTTCAGACAAAATAGTTATAAGTATGACCAAATTTGAATCTATCTGGATAAAAGAAACATAATATACTCCTACCAGTACCCAACAGGTTGGTAACTAATCCGCTACAATCGTCAATAATCCATTTGTGCAAATGTCACAACGGCTTTGACTTGAATCAAATAAAAAATATATCAAAAAATATGAGTACTTTTCGCGGAATTTCTCAGAAAAATTTGTCAAAATATTGTTAGAATACAAGGGGTAGAACTTATTTATGTAGTTTCGGAGGAAAAGAGAAAAGGTCAGATCAAAATTCATGTAAGGTGCTTTATAATAGGAATTAGGAGTTGACCAAATTAGTCGCCTAATTTAGAATAAGATAATTTGAAGTGAAGTAAGGACTAATTTAAGGTTTAAACAGTTTATCAATAATAAAATCTAAACCAAGTCACGTCATTCTAATTTCATTCTATCGATCAGTCATTTAATTGGAACTGCCAATCGCATCCACCTATGTGCTCAATGGTTCCTTTCTCGTTCGAAATACATTGTGTATTCAAGAAGAAGGCCACATAAAAAGACCAACCCTCTTCTTTATGACTTGCGCCAGCCACAAACGCAAGAGACACAAAAAGGAAGGATTGCAATCAACTCTACAAATACCGGACTAAAATGTTCACTCACAAAATGAAGACCGCAAAATCCACCCTACCTGAAAATAGATGAGAATGAAATATCTTAGAAAAGTGAACAAATAAAGTATCTCAAAGTATTGTTAGATAAGAAACTTTCCTATTCCTGATAAGAAACCACATCACCCCGCCCCTACACCCCGCCAGCACACCCCACTCCTACACCCCACCCCTACACTTAACCCACCACTACACCCCGCCTGTTAGACCCCCGAATTCAGGGCGGTCACCAGTGGATTCCCCGGAAACATCTCGGCATCATTTCGGCCTCGGCTAAAGGCTGTTTCAAAATTCCACTGCCCAGTGTGGGATTTCCTCGTTGGAATCGTTTAGTTGGAGATGGTCTCGGAGAATTTGTTACACGCCCTGCTGCCGCCCTGGAATTAGGTGCGATGTCCTGTCACGTTTCGTGAGTCGGTGTGCTATTTAGTGGGTTGTTTGTTCGCTTGATGGTACTGTATCTTATCAGATCCAGATCAGATTTTGTAGAGAAATAATCATTGTCAAGGGTATTGCCGTTTAAACTTTCTTCTATTGCTTCTTTTAATCTACGTCTCAGGAAAACAGGTGGTATTCAGGTTCTTTATATGCATGTTCTTAAATTTTTTCTGCAGTTACTTTTTATAATCTAATTCGTTGAAAGAGAAATGAGATTTTCGTATTATGAAAGATGTGTAAATATTATTTTACAAGGATCTGCAAAACATCAAAGCTTATCAAAGAAAGGTCTAGTAATTTTATACTGATTTAGAGAAACTTTCCGTTCATGATAAAAGCTATTATTTTTATATATTTTGACAAACATTGTAAACTTCTTTGGAAGAGTTGATTTACATTGGCTTTTCTATTTATTCTCGTACGCTCTAAGGTCTATCAAGGGATTTCAGTTTTACATGCTGAAGTTTTGGGATTTAGGCATTCCTTGACAAATTGAGGCTAAATAACACTGGTTCATTTTATTAATTAGTTTTGTTTTAGATGCTGTTGAATATTAATATTAATTTTGGGGAATACTCTGTTATAATTGCCCTGTCGAGCAATATGAAGGAAAATATTCTACACGAAATTATTAGTTTAGAGAGGTTTAAGGATCTCCCTATTTTTAGATAGGGAGGATTTTGCGGTCTTCTAAAAGTGAACATTATGGTCTGGCATTTTTACGAGTTGATTTCAATTTTACATTTTTGTGTCTATTGCGTTAGGATGTAAAGATTATTTCGGACTCTTTTGTATGCCAAGTAAATATCTGTCCTTCTGTGTAAGATACTTCTGTGTTCTGTGTGTATCGTCAGGAAGAAGGGCAGTTTACCCGTTGGAGAATTAGGGTATATCACTCAGGAAGATTTCATCTCACTTAAATATTGGGAGTGTTATTTGTTCATTTTTCCAAGGTATTTGTAGTAGTATTTGCTTGTGAAATAAAGTGAGTGCTAGAATATAGAGTGCCTGACGTGTAAAATATATTATACGTATATAATCGTCAAATCACGGAAAATATGTGCCTAAATCTCAGTAGATATCTATGTTAAAAACGATATGTTAATAATCGAAACCAACAATTGGTTATTTTTCAAAAACTAAAATTAATGAGAAAATAGCAGTTTGCTTTTGAGAAATGAATTGTTTCAATGAAACATCGGTATCTTGAAGTCAAAGCGCACTGACAAAACTCGAAATTTGGACACATTGAGCATAGTGAGCATAATAAACAAGATGTGAAAGAAACACAATTCAAATATCAAGTAATTTTAGTTTTTCTGGAATTAGAATGATCGAAAATCCATTGAAAATATCTTCTTTTAAAGAAATTTAATTATTAAGTTTGAAGGGCTTTGTTTCTTAGCTGTTCCTTAAAGTCAATTGTCTGAACCTTCTGAGTATATCAATGTGGATAATGTAGTATGAGAATGGTGAACATAACTTCTCTATGAACCTGTTCCGATCAGAATCAAAACAAATGCATGCTCACAACCCCAGTCTGGCACGAGTGATGACGCGACAACGCTTCCCTCGGCCCCCTGAGTTGTAGGACATGGCGTCCACCCACAAATTTATGTCCAACCGCTACGCAGACAAGGCCAGACGAGGATGCGTTGTTATTTATAGCAAGAAAACGGACCCTGTCCTTTTTAACAAGCCTTTCGTGTACCTTGGACCGCATATACATCGTCTACACACCTGCCTTACAATCCGAATTGCAGTGTATGAGCCTTTGTAATAGTGTAATGCTGTAATGTTTGTAAGCTATTGGAATATACTGCCATTTCATACCTTAATTCAACAATTTTATTTCACCTTTTTTATGTAGATTAAAAATGTAAAATTGATAAAACATTCAGAACAATATTCCACGGTCGAATGAATAGTAGTACAAGCTATTCATCTTATTTGAAAGTTTCCTACAAAGCGAATAAAGAAAAAGATTGTTCCTGAAAATTCCAAGTCAATGAGCAGTAACAGTACATTTAAATAAATACTTACTATAAAATGAGTTACTTCTAAAGTGTCAGCAATACGTTTCAGTCAGCACAGATTTTCCAACATTTCAAAATTATTTTATTCAAAATAATTTCAAATATAAGAATGAAAGAACTATTTACAGTACAAGTATCAACATCCTTCAAAAAATGAAAACAGCATCAATCCAACGTTAGGATAGGACGAATAAGCAAAAGATACCCGATGTAACGGTATAAAGAGTACAATAATACGCTTGTGAATGTCCACCTCCCTGCGCGAGGCTTCTTCCCTCAAATAAACCGTAAAATACCTTTTAAATATTCTTTACGATCGTGACCGTTAACCCCGCACGCACCCGCCGTTCGATTGTTCCCACTTCAAAGGCGGAGCCGCTTTCCCAGGGCTGATGCGGCGTGGGGCGGGGCGGAGGCGGGGCCTGCGCAGGGCGGCAGAGGGCGCGACCGCCGGGGGCAAGACCGCCCGCGGCGCCGCGCCCGGGAAAAATAAGAACTACCGAGGGGCGGGGCGGGCCTGGCCGGGCCGCGCCGGGCGCCGCCATGAGACTAACCATATGGCCCCGCGCGGCGCTGTGCGGTGCAGTAAGGGGCGGTGCGATGGCGCGCGGCGCCGTATGTTAATATCCCGCCCAGACACCGCCTCTATATCACGTTTATTTTTTAATATTCAAGATTAACAACTCATTCCCCCAAAATTAAAGTTACAAGATGGATCCGAGCGCCGCGGTCCTGCGTATTGGGAGGATCGAGGAGCGATAAACTCTGGTTTACGACCTGGGGGCGGCGGCGGCGGCGGCGGACGCGTAGGCGGAGGCGGCGGCAGTGCTGTATGGCTGGCTACGCGGCGCCTCCCTCGACGGAGAAGCTCCTCCAACATTCCTCTTTAGGGAGCTGCTCTGAGGCTTCCACGGAACCTCCACCCCAACTTTCTTCTCGGCGTCTCCGTACGTCGAGACGTTTTATATACGAGTGCGGGAGTGGTGTTTCCTGAAACAGGACCCGTAAAAATACAGGATAGAATTCCAAGGAGGGGGAAGGAAACAGGCTCGGAAAGGTCAACTCGTATTTGCCATCGGAGGGACCGAACTATGATTTAGTGGGTTTCGTTTAAAAGATATTCCACGGAATTCTACTGGTGGTCAAACCTGTTGGTTTGCCAAATTGCTTTAGGGGTCCGAGGAAAACAGTATATTTCACTGTGAGGATTCTGTGACCTTTAGACAGCCGAAGAAGCGGGTTCCCGACTGATCACCTCGTTTGCTTGCGTAGTCTTAAGCGAGCTGCGAGCCGCCCGGGAGCTGTGTGGATCTGATGCAGAGGAGGAGTGGGAGTGCGCGTCTTACTGCGGAGATTGATATGAGAAGTAAGCGGATCTTGCCTTATGCGGCTCTCCTGCACTCGCGCGGGACGGCTGCTGTGCCGCTGAACGGAACACTCAGTACGCGTCACCCACGTTAAAATAACACGCTACCTAATAATGCTCGATTTAAACATGTTAAGATACTGTGTTTATGAAGAAATTTCAATTTCAGAAAGAAATAACATTATATTTTACGGCCCATAAATATTTTTACATCAATGGAATTTCAGTGACGAACTGTCATCTACAATTGTAATATTTCTTCATATTATTATTATTATTATTATTGACATTCATGATTATCGATTCAAATTTATATTACACTTATTTTTAAAAATACTAGAAGTAACAGAAGAAGTATAATGTATTCTCATGAATATCTCTTCTTTTATGAAGAACGATAATATCATTTCATTTCTGCTTTCCTCGCCATCTTTAAAATTCTCTATAAAAATCGCATGAAAATGTTTGTAATGAGAAAATGGTCCTTCTTCCTTTTTACTCTAGCAAGAAGGTTCATGTATTACTGAAGAAACTGACACAGTATGACATTTTGAGAACACAACATTTTAAGAAGGTCCCATCTAATACGAGTAGATGTTTTTAAAAATATCGCTTACACTATAAATCATTTCATTTTCCGATTACTACTTTTATAATGAAGCACCAATCCGTTCCAGAATCAGTGACTCAGTCAGCATTTTCTTCCATACTTTTAAAGACATGCGAATCCGTTCACCTACTGAATGTGCTTTTACTAAAGTAGGACACCGTATACAAGTAAGAAGATCCATTTGTACTGAAGGATCAGAATTTCCTCCCAAGAACAGAGCTAGTTCATGATTTCATGCTCCCGTGTAAGGAACACGTTGTTCGATGCTATTGATACTCGAGCGACCTACATTAATACATTACCTACATTAATACTCGAACGACCAGGATGTCCCTATCCGTGCATGAATGGCGTTTCGACACCTCAGTATTTTCAGCTGGTTGTGGCACGATAAAATTGGTATTTTTGTTTTGAGTGGTTTCATTATTTTCTTAACTTACTTGAAAAGTTTCTTCATGTGTTTTCAAAAAATCATTACGAATATCTTGCTGGAGCCTACAGAAATGTTAGCTGAATTCAGACTGATGCTACAAATATTTTAGAATCTTAGAGTAATGGAAGAATATCAAAATGACATGCGTAAAGGAAGTAAAGTGTTAAATTTTTTTTAATTAAAAAATATTATACCAACGAAATTAATCCAAAAGTGATGGAGACTTGTAAAATGTTGTGATTAAATAAAAAAATATATTACAAGATAAAATACAGCATGAGATGAAATAACACTCTTGAGCGTCATAGTCTCTTGGCAATCAATACGCTCTCATAGTAATTTGTCTTTGAATGCCTTCTCATGCCTATCAATACGCCGTCTTTAGAGCACAGAAACACTGAACATGTGTATCTAGAACGCGTATCTAGAATTATCAACAAACAAACATAACACACTAGTGGTAATTCAACATGGCCACTAATTCACATGAAGTAAGCATAAATGCGTAAACCTAATAAAAACTATTTACGTTTTCGTGCCAATTCACTACTTTTAATTCCAAATACTTATTAAGTCTCATAGTTACAATACTTCCGGCCTAATCCTTTCCTGTTGCCGACTTCATCAATTCTACTGATTTTCCGATTGCCACTCCAGTCACCATCGCGATCACCTCCCCACCTCCGTCCTCGCTACGTCTCTGCCGTCACTACCATCTTTACACCATCGCCACTACCTCCGTCCTCACTGCCACAATCGGCCCAACTGCCATCACTATACCAACAACACCATCCCTACCAGCGCGCACACTCGTTCCGTCTCCGCCACCGCCACCGCCATCACCTTCGCCGTGACCCCCTCCGTTCCCGCCCCACCCTCTCCCGTGCCCGCCACCGCCACCGCCGGGGCGTCCATAACGGGCGCGACAGGAGAATGGCGCGGAGAAGATAGAGCCGTTTGTCAGGGAGCTGGAGGCTGCGTCCTCCCGGATGCCTCGTGCTGCCCGTCGCCGCCTCCGACGCCGCACGCGCGCCGAGCGTCTCATTAGGAAAAGATGGGCGGAGGCACGCTTCTGTGCAGGTGCCCCAATCTGCGCCGCCAGGTTCCCCTAGATAGTGTACTTCTAAATGCACAGTGTCACATTCTATGAGGGTGTGGTATTTCTGATTGTGGCTGGAAAGGAGTACTGTATCATATACTTGTTTGAAAAAATACTTTCAGGAATGGAAGCTCAGTTTCTGAAGTTTATGAATGACGAAAAGAAACAAATTATTAACCTTTAACTCGTCAACTCTAGCAAAAAATTTGTTCGTTGTTTTTTGAAACATGTCAATCAGAAGGGATATGTGCATTCCAAATCATTATCCACCGAGTGAAGTGGTGACAGATTATTTTATAAATTTCTCCTTTTACGTAATAAAACATTCGACAAAATAAAACGAATTCAGCGAAACAAACTATTTATCACATATCAATTACGAATCGAGAAAAATTCCCACTTTTCTGATGCACAGGTTTTGTTCCTATTTCATTTCGATTATATTTTGCGAAAAATTGAATATTGTGGCCTTAGGATAGTAGGATGACAAAATGTAAGTTACGCTAATGTCAAGAACAGGATAGCGATTAAGAGACTATAAAACATTAATTATTATAGATTAATAATCAACAAAAAATAATAATACAAATGTTCAATTTGCATTTGTCCTACAAATACAAAGAAGAACTGGCAAAATGTATTTATTATTCTCGATGTGAAATTTGTGTTTTCTCTTTACCCAGCATGTCTTTTAGACTCTTTATATCTAAATTGTTCAGTCGATGTTGTTATTCTAATGACTTTATAAAACAAATTTTCATATAACCGAGTCCATTGGCATGATGTCGTATATTAATATCATGACTTCTGAAAAGCGTGGATTCTTACAGCACATGCTTACGCAAAGACGTACCGTTTATACTGTTCACGTTAGAAGTCACCGTTGACAAATCATTTCACTTAGTAGACATGCCCACAGGGGCAATGAAAGGGCAAAGAAGTCTTGTATATACAATTCTGACGTCCATACATTTAAGCATTTCGTGAGACATCGTTAGTATTGCAGTGAAAAAATAATAAAGTCTAGACGACACATTCCTTACTCTTTTTCATTTGCTTTTAATATAATCAACTGGAAACAACATTTACAAATAAATATCACAATTGCTTCAAAGATGCAAGACAAATAAAAGGGCCAATATTTTTTAACATTTTTGGATTAAGAACAGCAGATGTTTCAGATTAACCGTTATGTAAAATATCTTACTCCTGATCTGGTACCCTTTGAATACGAGATTCACACGTACTCCTTTGTTCTTTCCCTTGAGTATCATCCCCTGCACTGAACTTCGAGCAGTCCTCTTTTACGATTCGTTGGCTTGAGGAGGGAGGTCTCCATCGTCTGCTGATGGCAACTGGACATTCTCTGCAGCTGCTGTCACTGGGGTCCCGCGCTCCTCGCTACAGACTGGACATCGCCGGAGCCCCTTCCTATTCAGACCGAATCTCTCGCAAGGGCCTTCTGGCTCCTCGTCTCGTTCTTTGACGGCTTCGAGGCGCCGGTTACGACGTGCAGACTGCTGACTAAGGACGAAAGGGCCGTGCGTTTCTCATATTTCCGTCTACAAAACGCGTATATTGAAGGACGCTTGGGCCGCATATATAATTTAACGGCTTTCGCGGAAAGATGTGTGAAGGGGAGCTTTAAATGTAAGAGGGGGAAAAATGGGAAAGAGAGGTGGGTAGTGGATAAAATGCAATAATAAGAGTTAGGGTAGAAGACAAAGAGTCGTTCGTGCACACAAAATCTTTGATAACAGAAGCACAGCGTATGTAATTATCGAAATTTTCCGTGTTTGTAAACCCCATTTGTTGGAGAAAGAATTGCTATTGAAATCTAAATAAAGTTTGAAAATATTTAATTTGTAAATATAAACAAACCTTTTTTTAGAAATTATTAACTTAAAATGTTTGTGTTGCAAACATCATATAAATATATATGTTGAATTAAATGTCGTCAAATTTTCTTTATAAATAAGGCAAAATATTTCCAATCAATAACATTTTAAGTCAACTTTATCCTGTAATCATTCCATTGGTTGACGTCATTTTATGAAAACTATTTTATGAAGTTTTCGCACCATGTACGCATTTTACAAGAATTGCTCGTTTAGAGTTTCTTACAACGTTTTACATTTGTTATGCTAAATAACCCACAGATAGTAAGTATGAGGTAAATCTCTCCTAGCACGTTAAATACTTATTTATTCGTTCATGACTTTCAAATGAAGGATACATTGTATCCAGTTAATTTCATAACTTGCATGTACGTGGTCGTCTCTCTGCACACATGAATGGAACATCAAGCATCTTTCTTGGATAATGTATATCGAAGTAAACCTTTTAATAACAAATTCCAAAGAAACACATCATCATACTGTGAAAATAAATCTTGATTAGTCCTAAGCTTGACAGTTGAGCTGAACAGAATAGCAGTAATATTTACCATGGAAAGAGTATCTAAGTTCGTCGCTTAACGTATCATTAAAGTTTCCATTATAGATGACCATGACGACCTACTTCACGTTGAAGAACCGCTCTTAGATTGTCAATAAACTGTGACTGGCATTGTAACTTAGTAGCGACTTTAATTAAGTAGTACTTCATTGTATAACTACTTTCTGCTGACTGGAAACTTGTGGAATCTCTGTCGATTAGTTTGAGGAATGTGAATAAAAACTTTCCAAAAGTTTTCTTGCTGTTCGACATACAGTATCTTTCAGAGGCGATTACAAATGGCATTATTACATTTTTTAAACAATTTAAGAGAAAGAATTAAGGGAAGAGCAAAATAACAGCAATGCCCCGAACTTTGAAAACATTATTTTCATTATTCAGACTTCTTTTAAAATAATCTTGGCGGATTGACTTGTCTCAATTTTTTCAAAGTATAGGAGACTGTAGTTTTACAAAACCGAAACTTTGCTCAACTCACGTTGCCTGATACATTTTTTACATTTAATTTTCAAGCTGTTCATTTCGCATATTACAATGCCGAATCTTTAGAAGATAATCTGACGATTCCGATATTCAAGTTATTGAAACAATTTTCGATTGATATTAATCATCAGAACGGGAACTCGGTTGGTTTCTATATTTATATGCTGATATCTGCATGGAGAACCGAGAACACTCGCATTATTTCAACTAGGGAAGTCTATGACCTCTCTTTGTGTAGTATATCTTTAGTCTTATAACAAAGCAAATACAAATAAGTTTAAGAAAAATTGAGAAAAGATACAGTTGAGAGCGGGGGTTATAGTACAAGAGTAGTTGGACCCGTGTAAACATCCTGTTCCTTGTAGATTACTATTTTAAAACAATAGATTTACACTGAACTTTGAATGGCAAGCCACTGACTGTGTGTTAAAAAATTATACCCTCGGTATAGTGCATGAGCAAATATTTCAATAACGCTAAATGTTGAGATTAAATTTCACATAAATTCAAATAATCACTTTAAATTTACCGTAGAATTTTATTTCTGTCTATTTTCTTTCAATTTAATTTTACATAGATTTAGAGTTTCAGTCTATGACCACCCATGTTATGGAGTACTGGTTCTTAAAAGAGTTAAGCTTCCATAAATGTAATAGGAGCTTTAAAAAGGTCTCATTTTGTAGAAAACGGTTTAAGAAACATAACTGGAGATCCACCTGACTATCAAAACTATTTGCCCCCAAAACTCACTTGTACCCTCCAAACTTGTGTTCTTTTGCGACACAGAAATGGAATGTTAAGGATCTGACTAAACACATCGTTACCGAGTTAGGCGCAATTTGTTACAAGGAATGTGACAGTAATCAGTTCTATACATCATAACCTACAAATGTCTATATTTTTCGCCTTTCATTTGTTTGATCCAAGACTGGGGAGTAATTTCCTATTCAGTATTAGCATACTTAAAGGGTTTTGTGTAAATGTGTTATTAAGTATCATAAACCTTCATCTATTCTTAGCGTGTTATATTGAGAGAGCATACGTCGATAAATCCTCTAGCGAACGTAAGGGCGCCGATTCAAGCGTTGGCCCATACGAGGCAAGTTCTGTCATGACTCCGACCGCTGAAGCGCAATGAACTTAGTATAGTTCATTTTCATTTACAGAGCAAGGGGATTACAGACGAAGTTCAGAAAAAATAAATCGTTTTAAAACACACGTCGAAGGTGACGACTCGTGCAGCAACGAAGAGCGCCGACCGTCCGGTAACACGAGCGGAGCGCGGTGCATGCTGGCGCTACGCAACACCTCCGCGAGGCGGCGCGGCGGCCTTCCGCAACTGGAGGCACGCGCCCGCCCGCCCGCCCGCCCCGCCCTGCCCCGCCCCCTCTCCCGCCCCGCCTCTCCCCGCCCTGCCCTCCCCGCCCGCCCACCGCCGCCGCTCCGCTCCGCGCGGCGAATCAAAGGCCGCGCGCGCAGGGCGCTTTCCCCGACGGCGCCCAACCCGCCCTCCGCGCCCTCATCCATCAGGCGGCGGCGCGGCGCCGGAGGCGAGGGCGGGTCGCGCCGCGCTGGCCGAGTGGCGACGAGGATTATCAGAGGAGGGCAGACGTGGAGGTTAGAAACGCTCGGATTTCGGGCGGTGGCGGTGCAAGTTACGGCGGTGATTGCGGTGTGACTGGTTGAATATCCAGTAATAAATCGATCTTTGGAAACTGATCCATCCAAGGTTGCTACTTACTGTACTTATCGTGCAAGTAACTTTTAATCTCAAGAACGGGTGACCATATGTTACAAATAAACAAATTAGTCTTAAAATTCCAGATGGGATAATAATTATCCGGTGATCTAAAAGATTACAAAAGACTATCACTATCAGGGGCTGTGTACCTCAAAAAATTATCGCTTTTTCTGTCCGATATTTCTACCTCCCCTCCCTACTGCCAATCATAAACTGCGACTCCTTATATCTTGAGCGGTATGTATCGATCGTGTGTTGATGTGCATAAAACCGCGTATGTACTATAACATAACCTCTTTTATTAACATGCTTGTTCAATTATTTCCAATATCGCTTCGCTAGTCAAGGATTTATCGACAATATTTTCAAAGTACCGTATTACCTATGATGATACATTTTTGCTTCACGATCTTTAGTAGTAAATACATTCTGCTATCGACGCATAAGCTTGTACTTGAAGCACTAGAGTCTTGTAATGCTTTCACCTTACACAACGTACCTGCCATTTGGAAAAGAGCATAAAAATAATGACGCTGCGATTGATGTGATGGGATTGCAGAAAACATAGAAATTTGATGAAGAAGTGTAAACTTATAATAAAGCGTTTTTTCGAACTATTATTGAACAAACAAAATAGATTGTACATCTCAATTATTTGTTAAATAATTTTTTTTGCAACAGAGCAAATAAAAGCAAAATAAATGGCAAACAACCTCCACGTTTTCATATGTATTTTTTATCAATCAAGCGGGTGGAACACGTCCAAAGAACGTAGAATTCATGTTACACCAAGTATTAATTCTTATTCTGCTCCTCTAGTAGGAAGTAGTTACTCCGCACGTCGTTTTCGGCAAACGAGAATACTGCCGGCCCAAGCCGCCAGCGTAGCAGCAATCCAGAACCGTCGGAGCGGCGCGGCGCGGCGCGGCGCAGGCCGGCAGCTTTCGAGGCGGGCCGAGGCGCGAGTGGGCGGCGCGCGCGCCGCACTTTGCTTTTCTGCACGCCGTGCCGCCTGGCCTCGCCGGCGCCGCTCCACGCCACGCCGCTCCACGCCGCGCCGCGCCGCGCAGCTCTCGAGGCCGCCGGAGAGACGCCGCCGCCACCGCCGCCGCCCCTGTCCCCGACGCACACACACACACTGGCCCCAAAGAAACCCAGAGATGTGCAGAGCAGACAAAATAAATACGCGTAGAAATAATAAGTCAATATTTGGGCGAGAATAATCTATGAGTGGAGTTTGTAGTCGTCTGGTAAGTGAAAACGGCTCTGTCGGTATCCGTGATGTGGGTTTCGAATCTGCGTAAGGCATGTGTGCTATCACCTTGGGGGTGTGATGTGGTTGATAAGGAGAAATCATGTTATATCGCATACAAGTATGCATCATTCATCAATTCATCATTTCCAAGGAAATCAAGGGCCAGAATACTGCGCTTGACCGTTAATATATTGCTACACGCATGGCAATAGAATTAGATCAAGGTGATGAAATAGAAGAGGAAAGCAAAAGAGAACTCATTACATCAGAAGAAGCAACATGTGCGGGCTAAAATATAAAATAAATATTTTGTGGAAACATTTCAGCTAATACAATGTTAAAAACGATATTTCTAACTAAACATTTTTAGTCATGAAATGACGACAAAAAGTTTCCAAAAAAGTTAGGGACCATATTTTACAATTTTTTCAAAGTTGTAAAGAATTTTCCCTAACTTCATAAAACTGCATAAAATAGGCCACTACGAAATTGGTCTATATGGTCTACATTGGTCTACTACGAAATTGGTCAATATTTTATGCAGTCGAAGATCTTCTTTATCTTTCGTCCAAAACACCAAGACTTAATGTGAGGGGAAATCTTCCAGAAAAATAATAGTAAATGAGACATTTGCACGAATTAATATTCGCACACTTAAGCTTCCGGGGCCGAATCCATAAATTCTTGGCTATCTGGGTGACGCCGCGTCGTTGGCTGGAAGGCCGACGTTTTGCGTGACATGTCGCAGGCTTTCTCAGGGCAGTGACGTCACTGCCCTGAGGAAGCCTGCATCATGTTAGGCCCAACGACGCGGCGTCACCCGTATAGCCAAGAATTTACGTGTGGTTATTTTTTTATGCCTTCAATGTTTTTTTTGTTTTGTTTTTTTTCATTTCAAACGTGTGCATGGAACGCCCAAACAGAAATTGTCCGCTCGTGGTATCGTCTCGACCCACTGTGCGGCTCACGAGCCGCAGCTGACGAGTGGCCGCGGGAGGACGGACGAGGAGGCTAAGTCGGTTATTAGGCGGCGCGCCGGAGTGATGGAACGAAACGTGTAGGTGATGAATGAAAGAAAGTAGACCGTTGCCTTGTTCAACACGCCTGGTATTTGTAAACAGACCCACGAAATCATTTTTGGATATTCTGAATCAATTTGTCAGAACTGGTCATGAAGTTTCATCACGAAGCAGGCACTACTCGAAACCAGAAATTCATAAATGTAGATTGAAACGAATTATGCAGTTTTGAGTGTGAATAGTGAACTCAAGCAATTTCAGAATACTCCTGTTATTAAGAATCGCCTTAGAAGTAGTTAATATTTATGAATTTATGAGCACGTTTATGCACCTCATTCAACTTCTTTTTTTAACAAAATCATTTACATGCGTCATGAACACTGATACACAATTAATCAAAATTTGGTGTTTTATTTTCCGTTTCTGTTGATTCGCAGTGTCTTATAGGAACTTCCGCTTTCTATTTTGGGATTAAACCATTAAAATCTCACAACAATATGGAATGTATTTAGTAGAAAATGGATTGGCTTCACGTACTGTCACATCTCTTGCAAGCCAGATAGACTTTTTTACTATCATCAACGTTCTTTCATCCGTAAATACATTCTTTACTTCCTTGCAAAAGTCTGTTTACGTAAGTTAGGGAATAAGCAGATGCTCTGGGAGAATTTCTTAGTGTTGCGACATTTCTGACTTTGTGTACGATTATCGCCCGAAGAATATTTTTGTTCACTTGCCACTTGCATGAAAAAGGAAACCTCCGCTCCTCTATTGTCGGATTACATTCGCGCTTACAAGAGGCAAAAAGAGACGAAAGGATTTCTTGCAGATCCCACTCTTGAGAAGCTTAGCACACGTCTGGAGACAAAATGGTAATATTCTATGTTAATAGAAAGTGTCACGTACAAACAATCTTAAGACGAAATTAGTGTCCCAAATGCGGACAATTAGGAAATTTACGGCGACCACTATGCAAAATAATTTCACCTCGTTTTCCACCAGGTTCTGCCATCAGGTTTATCTGCGCGTTACAACTTAGAGCGCGGCTGTATGAACCCACGTACTGAAACAAGCCATGCGTAGTACGTAATCGATAAAATTACAACGCAAAGCACTCCTTTCTCGAAGAACCAGTTTTGAATCTGTCATTTTCCCGGTCGGTGGCGGCGACCTGTAATCTGGCTGCGTCCGTCACGCAGATCTCGAGGCTGAACACGCCGCGCAGATTCCCGATCGTCTTGATCCGCCCTCGCCTTTGCAGGCATCAGCCCTCGTCGGAGCTGACGCCGTCTGCGCCCTGCGCTGATCCCCGCCCGCGGCGCAGCGTCGCGGCGCTCGGCGTCTCCCCGCGCCTCCCTGCGCCGCTCCATGCTGCTGCGCGTCTTCCTGCGCTTCTCCGCGTCTCTCCACGCCAGCACGCCAGCTCGCGCGTCCCCGCGTCTTCCCGCGTCTCCCCGCGCCTCCCCGCGCCTCCCCGCTCCTCCCCGCTCCGCGAATTTTTTGTGGCATTATGAGTGACATGATTTTGAATCTTTGTTTGGTTTATTCATCCGAATGATTACCCTTTACGTCTCGATGGAACACATATTCGACCATACACTAAACACCAACACACTTGCGGGATCCTCTGATCTGGGTTACAGGCCCACCGCTACAACACGTTCATGAGAGGCAAGGGACACGTTCATGAGCGGCCAAGTCACACGCTCTTAACAACCTCGACCATCCATATCGGCTGAATCTCAGTATCTTGCTATTTATTACCTTCATGCATTCTATCAATGACCATTATAAGCAAGACAATCCTAATTTTATGTAATAAGTAACCTTTCTGTTATAGCAGTTTCCTAGACCTGGTTTGATATTTGATGACATTCCCTAATCATTTACGATCATTTCTATTTTTACACTAATCCATTGTTGTCTAAACCTTTTATTGAGTATAATAGTGAAGTTAAATTACTAATATTTGTGCTAATTCTCTGAGTTTGTAATCGTGCGCCGTATAATGGCGAATGGCAGAAAAACGTATTGCGTAGCCCAGGTTAGGGAGCGACAAGCAGAAAGGGTCAAGAAATCACGAAACATGTATTCTATACGACTTATTTCTTCACAACGTGTTATAGGAAGTAATTTCCCCGAGTACTACACACTAAAAGATTTATTCACTTTTTCGTTACCAGAACCCGGAAATAAGCGTTTTTCTGTCGTAAATTTGCCGTTTTTGAAAATTTCTATTGATAATACCAATGATTGTGAGATGAATAGGGCAGTGAAGTCGCAATGTGGGGCAGGAAGGTTGCAATAAAGGATGAAGTAGGAGTATAAGAGGCAAAAACAGCGGAGAAGGGACAGAGAGGAGATGGAGAAATCAGGACTGTCGGTGCAGGTGGAGATTATCGAGGCAAGCGCGGAGTCCCCAGTGGAGGTCGCGTAGCGCCGCTACAACAGAGGATACGCAGAAACAGTGGCGGCCGCAATACCGGTCATGGCTGTGACTGCGGGGGAAGGGGGCGTGGAGGGCAGCGGCGATTTGCGGGCGCTCGCATTACGGTAATGGCGGCGCCGCGCCCAGGGCCGATCAGATAGCGGCGCCTTGGCGGCTGGCGCCGCGTCCCGGCCCTCCGCCCCGCGCCCCGGCGGCGGCGGCGGCCGCAGCAGCGCGGTGCGGCCGCGGCCGCGAGCCGTTAGCCATATCAATCAAGCCCTCGCGCGACGGCGCCCCGCGAACCGCCGCGGCCGCCACCGCCGCGCCGCGCGCCTGAGGACTGCTTTGGAAGGCTATCGGGGAAATCGCGGCTTGTAGGCTGGTTTCGTCGCCCAAAGTGCCCAATTTTGGTACAGAAAAAAATGAAGATAGAACTTTAGAAGGAGTGATCACCCCCCCCCCCATTCTTTCGTCCTCATTTCAAACAACACAATAACAAACAAAGTATGCGGCAACATAATGCACAGACTTCCCTATTAGTTTCTTCTTCCTTTGTCTTCGACTAGCTATACGCATACGCTTGCCAGCTACCCATCTATCAAATCCCCAAATACATTACTTTGAAATTAATAATTTTTCGTTTCTATTAGTAGAACGAAATATTATTTACGGAAGAAAATTAATAAACAAAAAACGTCGTCATAAATGGCAATTTTTTTGAAAAAAAATCTGGTTTCTTTTTAAGAAATTTGTGTTAAGATGTACTTAAATTTGAAATTTAAACTCTTTTTCACAGAAAAATTTGAGTTTTCGAAAACTTCATTAAATCATTTGAAGCGTCTTTTCTCACTATATATAGTGTTTACAAATTGCAGGAAATGTGGCATATTAACGCATGGAGAATCCCTTCAAATTAAAACTACATTTGTTAATTGCAACAACAAAAATTCTCCGCAAAGAACTTTACGTCATGTTAAAGAGTGCAATTACCCCTACCCGTCGAAATGTTTGAAGAAAAAATTTCTACCCGTTTCTCAGAAAACGGCGTTTGAGTGTTTGTGAAAATGCTGAATTTTAAGCTCATTTTCACAGAAAACGGTTGAGGTTTAAATTGTTTAAAGCACATCTACTCATAAATTCAATAATGTGAAGATACTGTCGCTAATATAAATATTAACGATGCGACAGTCGAGTCAAAAATGTACATTTTTGTATTTTTTGGAAAAACAAAGGGATAGAGCAATATGACTTTCATGTCATCTTGTTGAGTGCATTGAACGATATTTCTACTGAAATTTGGAGCCGTTTTCAAGAAAATCTTGTTTTTGTAATTTTTTTAAAACAGCAAATAATGCATGCAATATTGCTCCAAAACTGCTAAAACTTTTAAAGAACTATACATAACCTTAATGAAAGACCTCACTATAACAACAAATTTTATAAGAAGGAAATACCTCTTTCATTTTGTAGTTGTAGAAAGTCGGGGAAAAAATCATTTTCATTGCAATTGCAATTTGCATTGCAATTTTCGCATTGCAATTTTCAAAAATTTAGATATAACCGTGAGAATCGGACCTATATAATGGTGTATTTTATTCCATTTTTACACGAAATTGAAAGAAAAAAATTGGAGCCGTTTTTGAGAAAATTTGGAAAATATTCCCAGATTTTGAAGAAAGTTTTTCAAATTTGTGGTGCATTGAGTGGAGCCAAATCGATCGATAAATATCCATTTTGGAAAAAATTGTAGTATGATTTAGGCGATAGTGGTGTTCAAAGACTAACAGACGAAAGGACGTTTAAAAAAACACTTTTTCGGAATCAGGTGTCCCCAAAACGTATATTTCCGTTGAAATCTTGAAGTCGATTTTCCGCAGTATTACATAACTTTCCCTATACTAAGTATACACTTCGTATATACGCACGTATACGGAAAAGTAAAAATGTATAACGTTCGTGTACAAACACGACATTTGTAAATTGTCAAAAGAATAAGCTACACCCACTGAATAATAAAAAGTGACATTTTGGGAGAGCTGATGTACACAGAACTGAATCGTTTGTTTCGCGACCAAAAACAAACAATTCTTCTCTATATGACAACTGTCTTGTACAATTTACATTTCAAATTGTTACTAGTAAAAATTAATTATTTTCTAAACGCATTTTATCATTTAAATAAAAAATGTCGATATTTTAATGTGTCATTTTGGGCTGGCGATATGTCGTCACTTGACACAACAGTATATATTCTTATTATTCAGGAGAAAATGAATTTACAGTATCGTACAGTCGATGTTACTTCTTCAATTTATTGCTTAATTAGTTCATTGTAACGCATCAATTTAATTTCTTTGAAAGAAGTAAGATGATGAAAATTCAGAGAAGCACAATAGCACATTTTAGGCTAGCGATAATATAATGTTCTAGTGTGCATGCTAAAGATCATAAAGATGGAAACTGTTTCCCATCAAATTACTAAATCAAGAATGCGCATAAGAGCTACTGGATTTCATATTGCGATAGTTTTTTAAGAAAACGTTCGCAAACGTTGGTCAACTTTCTTGTTGCACCACGGATACGTTAAAGTTCATGATTATTGCAAATTTAACAATTAAACATTTTCTAATATTATAAGCTTGTGGGAATATGTAATGCAAATAAAAGCAAACTAGTCAGATTAAATTGTATCTTATGTAAATTTAAAAATAATCACACATACGCGTAACAAGGGAATTTAATATTATTTATAACCATCATATTAGACTATCACTTTACAGGCATTTTATCCAGTTTAATTAATATAATCGATCTTTAGATTATTCACTTACTTTTTTACTTATACTTTTTTTCTAAAATTGCATACTTAAGTCGTACTACATCAAAAATTAATTTTTATGTTATGAGCTGTGTTTTGTTTCGAAGAAAAACCTTTGTGACATTGAACTAATGTTATTTTGTCATCACATTTTACAACGAACATTGTTTTGAGCCAGCTGATTTTATCAGTTGAGTTTGTAACATTGTACCTAATAACTTCTCCATTAATCATTATTCAAGTTTTCCCTTGACGTTTCGTGGGCAAAGAAAAAAAATGGTGGTATGTGGAGCTACATGTCCAAATTGATACGAAATAGTAGGGAGTTGAATAGTTGATTAGCGTTCTGATACGCTTTTGTCTGAGTCGATTTACAGCAACCATAGTCTTCTTGTTATTATATTCAAAGACCGAATGTCCCATTTTGTATGTTCGCATATGTCATGCAATGTCCTTAGGTATATTATTGTGCGCACAACAGTTAGATGCCATCGCCAAATGAAAAATAAAAATAGATTTCCTTAAGAATAAATTAAGGTGTAAAATGGGCACCCTGCCAAGTAGCTCTGCTCCTTACACCAAACATGTTTCGGCTTGTCCATTATTATCGCTCGTGTTTTTGTTATTTATGTCGGCGGGTTGTCCGGCTAAGGACCGTTCGCTGTCTTGCTGACGGCGGCCTACGGAGTGTCGCACCTCGCTGAGACAAGCGCCTGCCCCGAAAAGGCCAGTCACTATGGTCATCTCCTTGAACTGCTCAGCATCACATCGATGTTCGATAAGAAGATAAGCTGTGCCTTTGAAGGGGATTGAACATCTCCGAAGCTAATGATTTGCTGAGGGACTTAATCGATGGATCTGCCTATCATTGTACCATGCAAACCCCTGAAGCAAAAAAGAGTATGTTTAAATTAAGTCGGCTGGCTTCTAAGAGTTGACAGGTGAAAGTAGATAGATTGTCATCATGGTTGTTGCTGTCTAAGGAAGTTGAAGTTTTTCTCATAGTTATTGGTTACCTT